CCGAATCAGTACGTCTATCCTGACTCCGGCCGGTTTGTTAGACTCGGGTTCACTAAGACTAACGGGGTAGGGAAGGAACCGGAACCTAGAACTGCTCTTCCGAAAAGCTTCTGTATGGAGGTGTTACCTCAGTAGGTCTTCTGAACCTTTAAATTTTCGCGTGTGGCCTCCTCCAGCCTGCACAAGCTTTGTTTGCCAGGGCAGAGCTGCTGCGCAGACTGTCAGTTTGAAAGCAGATGTTTGTATGTAGCTTTGGGGATCGTGAGTTTGGAAGTAGTTATAGCTAAGGGAACTTGAGGATCCTAGAGTTCAGACCCAACGAAACAGGACTAGCTGGTGTATCAAAGGGAGCCACGCTAGTAGATTTCATATACTTTAACTGAAAACGAACTGATGACAGGACGATGATTGTTAAAAGTTTGGAATAATGAGTGAAGACAGTAGTAAGATGCTAGTAGTTCTCTCCTTTAAAAGAGGAGAAACGAGTTGTGTTTATATTGATTTGGAAAAGTTGGGAGATACTCTTGGAGGTAAAAAAACAAAACAACCAAAAAACATGGTTTCTATGTCTTTTTTTCCCTTAGTACCTAACATCCAGAGCTTGGTGTAAATAATTTGTTGAAGAAAGAAATACAAACCAGAGATTGACTATTTCACTGAAGTATCACAAAGCTTCCACAAGAAAATACAGTAGCAGCAACTTCTAGAACATTTAACAGTACTGGGCACTAATGCTTGACAATATTGGTACAACATGTATAAGGATTACCTTTCCCTCACCAAACTTAACTTAGAAATAAATAATCCTTTTATTTTTTGGTCTTTTTGAGATAGGGTTTCCCTGTAGCCCCAGCTGGCCTGGAATTCACTATGTAGACCATAGACCAGGCTGGCCTTGAACTCAGAGAGATCTGCCTAGCTCTACCTCCTGAGTGCTGGGCCCAGCTTGTCCTTTGCTTTTTTCAGAGTCTCAAGTCCTTGAATTTTAGTTGTACATTTTGTATGCTCCTTGAAGATTAAAAAGCGTCTATAAGCAGGGCTTGGTGGTACACGCCTTTAATCCTAGCACTCAAGAGACAGAGACAGGCAGATCTCTCTGAGTTCAGGGCCATTTGGGGCTTCAGGGAGACCCTGTCTCAAAAACAATCCAAAAAAAAAAAAAAGGATCTGGGATTAAATTAAAACAGTTTTTTAACTTGAGTAACTTTATAATCATGGATAATAAGGGATTGACCTCCCAGGTGTGGTGGTACATGCTTTTAATCCTAGCACTTGGGCTGCAGAGGCAGGCAGATCTCTTTGAGATAGAAGCCAGCCTGGTCTACATAGTGAGTGCCAGACCAACTGGGACTACAGGGAGACCCTGACTCAAAGAAAAAAAAAAAAACAAAACAAAACTATGGATTGGCCTGTAATAGAGTTCTCATTTTAAAAACGTATTGAGAGCTGGGGTGTGCTCAGTGGTAGAGCACTTAACCTAGCATTGGTGGAGGCCCTAGGTTCAATCCTCAATATCACCAAAAAAAGTATTCAGGATTATATATATAATTCAAAGAGAAATTTAAATCTCATTATGTGATTCTGAACAGCATTAATCTCTGACATTTTTAGAAGTTATTTTGAATATCCCATTAGGAATAGTGGGATGGATCTAGGGATTTTTAGAGACTAGATGAACTGACCTTAATTTTTTTCTTAGCTATATTTGCATTTTAGCCAAAGTTATTCCTCTCACTTCAATTCTTAAATGTGTGCCTGAATGCACATGGCACACATACATACATGCAGGCAAACTCTCAGACATAAAATAAAAATAAATCTTAAAAAAAATAAATGTGTGTCTAAAGAAAAAGTCTTTAAAATTGTCTTTATTTATTGGGACAGGGTTTCAGTATGTAGTTCTGGCTTGACTGGAACTCGCTATGTAGACCAGGCTGGTCTCAAAACGCAGATATCCAACTGCCTCTGCCTTCCAATTGCTGGGATTAAAGGCATGCACCACCACTGCTGGATGTGTTTTTCTTTTTAAATTAAGTACAGCTTGATTCCTAGTCACATATACCTGTTTCCTACAGTTGCTTTTATATGAAAGAATTATGAGAGTAGATAACATAAGGGCAGTAAAGATAGGATGTGTGAGTAGTGATAGTGGATTGTATTAGATAACTGGGTGTGGTGGCGGGTGCCTGTGATCTCAGCACTGGCTTTGTATGACATGACTATCACAAAATAAAAATAGTAATAGTAATCTCAGCCTTGGTATACAGAAGCAGGAGCATTAGGAGTTCAAAGTCATCTTTGGCTACTTAGAAGCCCGCCTGGGCTACAGGAGACTCAAAAAAACAAAGGGAGGGATAGAGGGTGGGCATTATTATAGTAGACTGATTATTTAATGAAACTAAACAAGTCCTTGTTAGGAGACTATAATGTTGAAAATTTGCCTTGTTGTGTTTCATTTCATTATTTTGAACAAGAAGCTTGTTTCTAGGCAACAAATACAGTAGAAAATGATTTAAGATTTTCCTTGTACAAGCATGGATTCATTAAGGTAAGCCGAGGAGGGGTAGTTCTTAGAAGCACAGGTACTAGCCACTCATATTTTTGGTCTTTTTTTTTTTTTAATTTGTTTTATTTTATGTGTATGTGTGTATTGCCTACATGTAGGTAAGTGCATCCGTGGTGTGCAATGCCCAAGGAGGACAGAAGAGACTGTCGGATCCTCTGGAACTGGGGTTATGGACAGTTGTTAGCTGCCGTGTGGGTGCTGGGATACGAACCCCGGTCTTTTGCAAGAACAACCAGTGTTGTTCAATGGCAAATTTTAAATGAAAGAAACATTCTTACCTTTTGGGAGAATTATTTTAATTGGAAAATATCAGTGAAACTCCCTTATGTTTAGAAGATAACTATTGCCTGCTGCTCTAACATAGGTAAGTTCCAGAAAGATTAAGAGCAAATTTTGAGGGAGGAAGTGCTAAGGATTGAACAAGGGCCTCACATCTGCTAAGTGTGTACTCCACCTCTGAGTTACACACTCGGCACCAAGAACTAGGATATTTATATGGCCCTGAACATGGGAATGTCAAAACTTGAGGCCTAGAAAGTTTGTCATAGCTTAATATATAATTATAGACAGTATTCCTTGACAAGGGTAATTTGTTGCAAAACACTCCATGTTTACTTTATCACGTCCATTCACTTGATGACAAGTTCTTAACACATGGAATATTAAAACTATGGGATTTCTATTACTTCTGTATACCTGAAATTAATTATTATCACTGTTAATATGTTTCATATAAAAATAAATGGAGCATGGCTACAGGGAGACCCTGTATCAAAAAAGAAAAAAAAATGGAACATCAATTTATATAATTGATACTTAAGCCAGATGCATGAAAGAACACTACTTATATGCAGTAGTTGGAGTTTGTGGTTTTATTCTGTAGCATTCTGTCAGAGGACCTAGTTAGACTCCTAGTGAGCTGCAAGTGGATGGTCAGATTCATACAATCACCAGATGCTGTTTGGTCATGAAAACATCAGTCTAGTAGTTGGCAGAGTTCTGAACAAACTGGACACCCCCTGATAGATCAAACGATTTTATCTTTAAATCACAGTCATATTTTATGGAGAGTAAAATGGTCTGGACATATTTAAGGTTCCATAAAAGGAATTACTTGACATATCCCATGAACCAGCTGATTAGCAGTTCTTTGTATAGTGTGGGATATAGTTTATTTCCCTAGTGTTCATGTGTGTGAAATGGTCCTCAGTGTCAGAGATACCTTTGAAGAGATGGGGTCTACAGGAGGGTCAATGGTTAGGTATTGCCCTGAGACTGGATTAATGTTGTCCCACTGAGTATATTAGCTCTTTGAAGGTAGGTTGTTATAAGAGTGAGTCTGACCCTTCAATTCACTTGGCGTTTTTTTCACATGTGATCTAGCAACAGTGTGTTGCATTTACCTTTGCCATGAAGCCAGCCACAATGAGGCTGAACTGATGGGGCTTCTAAACATGGACTTTCAGCCTCCCCCCCCCCCCTTTTGAGACAGGGTCTCCCAGTAGCCACAGATGGCCTGGAACTCACTATGTAGACCAGGCTGGCCTTGAACTCACAGAGATCTACCTGCCTCTGCTGGGATTAAAGGTATGCGCCACCATGCCCAGCCCAAACATTTCTCTTTAAAAAAAAAAAAAAAAAAATTTAAGCTTTTGAATTAAAAAGCCCTTTAAAGGCAGAGGCAGATGGATCTCTGTGAGTTCAAAGCCTGCCTGGTCTACATAGTAAGTTCCAGGCCAGTTGAGGCTACAGGGAGTCAAAGACAAAAAAAAAAAAAAGGCTTTTAAAACCAAAGGCTGAGTGAGCAGAAGATAGGCACAGCAGTTCAAGCCTCTAATCCTAGC